CCGGCAGCGCCGCTGCCTCGCTGTCGCGCGGGCCCTGCCCCCTCGCCGGGCAGCGCTTATAAGGCGGGCGGCGCGGCCCGAGCGCAGTCCTGGCTGAGCGCGTCTCCCGTCGCTAACGTCCCCTGCGCTCTGTGTGTGGCGATGACGGTGAAAACCGAGGCTGCTAGGGGCACCCTCACTTACTCCAGAATGAGGGGCATGGTTGCAATCCTCATCGGTGAGTGTGCGCGTCAGGCCGCACTTCTGTTCGTGGACACGCGAAGTGGAAATTTTTTTAGGTCCTTGATCACATGAGTCTTTGTGGCATCGGATGTGACTAAGCCGTCTAAACGTCTGTTTATTTCTCTTCTCTAATTCACAGCTTTCATGAAACAGAGGAGGATGGGCCTGAACGACTTCATTCAGAAGATTGCCAATAACTCCTATGCATGCAAACAGTAAGTTTGGGGGGATTGGAGCAGTAAAAATTAGTATAGTTCAGTTTACTTACCGGCAGTAAAGACACGTTCTCATCAGCGTGTTAATCAGGAAGCCAAAGACTGCCCCGGGTGTGAGGATCCCTTTTCTCTTTAAGTTCTAATTTATTTAAAACATTTTAAACATTAAAGTGAATGTGCTGATTTGACTTGTTCTAATTGTAAGATGAAATTTTCATGTTTGCCTAATTCACCCCCTCTCTCCTTAAAGAACAACCCTCATCTCTGTATTTAACCGGGTTTATTATTTTCTCTGGCTGTTTTTCCTTTAACTGAGTAATTTATTTGGGTGTTTTTAGTTTAAACACTCAATTCTGGGGGAAAAGTTGAGCCAGAAACTCACTATTGGTGTTGGTGTGCCCCCTTGTGGCGAGTTGAGAGGTTCTAAGTGGCTCCTTTCTTCTCTGCAGCCCTGAAGTTCAGTCCATTTTGAAAATCTCCCAACCTCAGGAGCCTGAGCTTATGAATGCCAACCCTTCTCCTCCGGTAAGTATTCTCTGTTTGTGATGCCTCTGTGGAGGAATCCTGTAAATGAGTCAGTTCGTATTCCTACATTGATGAATTAGAATAGCATTTCTAGAAATTAGCATCAAGGCAGGAATGCCTTGTTAGTTCATGGCATGACAAGTGACAGAAGCACTTAAGTGTTGAGTCAGTGGAATATTTTAAAAGGCATATTGCATACAAGTTTTATCTGCTTACAACAACACGATGGCATATAGTTTCCTTATTCATTTGAAATATCAACATATATGGATGAAAAGTACTTTTGAATGTGTTTATAGATGTGTGGTGACTTGCCTCAGTTACTTGCAGATGTCACATCTTTTACATTGCCTCTACTTTATTATCAGTGGCTTCCTTTGAAGGAAGGATATTAAAAGAAAACATTTTCTTTTCCAGCCAAGTCCTTCTCAGCAAATCAACCTTGGCCCGTCATCCAACCCTCATGCTAAACCATCTGACTTTCACTTCTTGAAAGTGATTGGGAAGGGCAGTTTTGGAAAGGTAATTTCAAATCTGAAGACTTCGTTATTTATAGTCTTTCATGCACTCATTTTGCATTCTCCCTGAATGTGGAAAGCAAAATGATGTTTTAATTGAAATTTCAGGTTCTTCTGGCCAGACACAAAGCAGAAGAAGTCTTCTATGCAGTCAAGGTTTTACAGAAGAAGGCGATCCTGAAGAAGAAGGAGGTAGGAGAGGTGCTTGATGGGTGGGGGTTAGAGATAGACATTCGTTGAAGAGTTTGACCTTGGAAGTTTAGTGCCAAGTTGAAATTTGCCACTAAATCTTAATTATCCTTCTTCTAGGAAAAGCATATTATGTCGGAGCGGAATGTTCTCCTGAAGAATGTGAAACACCCTTTCCTGGTGGGCCTTCACTTCTCTTTCCAGACTGCTGACAAACTGTACTTCGTCCTAGACTACATTAATGGTGGAGAGGTGAGCAGAGGGAATTTGAGCCGCCCCTTGGGTGTCTGCGCACAGCCTGCTTGGTTTTGGTTTGAGAAGAAAGTTTGTAAAAGATACTTAGGGGGGAAAAGTTACCAGAATTAGCATTTGCTTTAACCTGCCAGGTTTCAGATAGTTAATAGACTATTTAGGGCCACTTCCTGCCATTGTTCTCTTTAGCTATATATGTCGAGACTAATTAAATGTGTTGTTATCAGGCTTTGGCAACCCAGACTAACTCTGTTCTGTCTCCCGTAGCTGTTTTACCATCTCCAGAGGGAGCGCTGCTTCCTGGAACCACGGGCTCGTTTCTATGCTGCTGAAATAGCCAGTGCCTTGGGTTACCTGCACTCCCTGAACATCGTTTATAGGTGAGCCGAGGAGCTCTTAAGGCTACCCTTCCTGGGTGTAAAGGAGACAGCCGTAGCCTCTGAAAGGGCCTTAAAATAATTTGTATTTATGTACAACTTGGTCATCTAAAACCAGCTCCCCCAGCATGTGAGCTGCCTTGGCTCCATGCCACCAGAGCCCTAGCCAGCTAGGATGGTGCCTAATCCAGAATAGATTAGCAGAAGAAGGGCGCCCTGTTTTATTCGCTCTACAACTACAGTGAATTTCAGATGCTTGTAATACCCCTAGCAGTTATCTTTACAGAGGATTTCTTAGGAAGTGAAGTTAACTTATGCCACTACTTTTGTCTTCATTTTTTCACAGAGACTTAAAACCAGAGAATATTTTGCTAGATTCACAGGGACACATCGTCCTCACTGACTTTGGGCTCTGCAAGGAGAACATTGAGCACAACGGCACGACGTCCACCTTCTGTGGCACGCCTGAGGTAGGAGCGCTCTCGATTTGGGGCAGTCCACCCCCTCCTTCCAAAAGAGAGAAGTGCAATGATGCTTTCAACTACAAAAGAGTGAACGGTTCTCAGAGATTTCTTAGTCCAATTCAGTGCAAGTAAAATACCTTTGCTGTGTGGTGCAGCATGAGAAATTCCAAGGCCTCATGTTGCCTTAATTAAAACTAGATGTTTGCAAGATACACGTCCTAAAAGATTTCTAAATCCCCAGATGAGATACCTACTGGGAGCCCAGTAGCTTCCAGAATGTCAGTGCACATAAGGGCCAGTCAGCCTCCAAGTCCAGCAGTTCATCAGGAAGTAATCTCGGGAGATATACCCTCCAAGTGGACCCGGGTCTCAGCCCTTTCAAAGTGCCTGCTTGGTCCTGGGATTGCCTGGTGTCACGAGCTCTGAACTCTCTTTTCCTGCTCTGTCTTTCAGTATCTCGCGCCTGAGGTGCTTCATAAGCAGCCTTACGACAGGACCGTGGACTGGTGGTGCCTGGGCGCCGTCCTGTACGAGATGCTCTACGGCCTGGTGAGTAGCACGTTGAGAATCGGGGAATAGTGCCCTTGCTTTGACGACGCTCCCTAGAATGTAGTCTTCTTACAATCCAGGCTAAGCTGGCACACGGGCCCCACTGCAGGCCTGGTCGTTGTGTCTTGCCCTTATCAGTCAGCTTATCAAATGCTGATAAGAAAGGCATATTGGTTATTTTATGCGTGTTTTAGGGTAAACTCGTACTGAGTGAATTTTTCTTCTGTAAATTCACGTTTTACTAGAGATAATCACACTTAACCTATATGAGGGTGGAGAACATGGCTTGTTAGCATCTACTTGCTGATAAGGGTTGCAAAATAGACGCTCAAAAGTCCAGGGCAGAGAAAACCTATCAAGGGAAAGACTGTCAAATCCAGCTTAATACATTGTAGTGCAAGTCCCTTCTCCATAGTTCTGTATGCTATACAGAATTTCCAACTGAGGTCTAAGAATTTCCCCCTTCTCTCAGCCTCCTTTTTACAGCCGAAACACCGCTGAGATGTACGACAACATTCTGAACAAGCCCCTCCAGTTGAAGCCAAATATTACAAATTCTGCAAGACACCTCCTGGAGGGCCTCCTGCAGAAGGACCGGACCAAGAGGCTGGGCGCCAAGGAAGACTTTGTGAGTCAATTTTTCCTGCTCTCCTGGGCTGTCTGGGACACACACTGGACCTCACTGCCCTCCTTGGATTCTGCCTGTCTAAATTAATCTTGTGTTTCCTCTCAACAGATGGAGATTAAGAACCACGTCTTCTTCTCCCTAATTAACTGGGATGATCTCATTAATAAGAAAATTACTCCCCCTTTTAACCCGAATGTGGTGAGTATCTCTCTCTTCTAAGATTAGGGAGGCCCAAAGGGCATGTCTTAAAGTCAGAGTTGATGGTGGTGGTGGAGGGGGAGGGCCCTCGAGGAAGAAACCGGCAGATATTTTATTCATAGCTCATTATTTTACCTAGAGAAAAAGTAAAATTTTTGTCCCAACAAAGCTCACATAATTTTTTAGCACATTTATGAATTAAAGTACCAAAAGACAGAAAGTGAACATTATCTCCTTATTTACACTGTGTGTGGCCTCTGGGTATTGTTAGTCGAATGGATGATTATAATGGGAGTTCCCATACAGTGCCCTAAAGACCTGAGCCCCAGGATTTAAAGCCTGAGTGGGGATTTCCCTGCCCTGTATCCATGTGAATTCTTGACACAGAGTGTATTTCCTCCTTCCTGCCACAGAGTGGACCCAGCGACCTGCGGCACTTCGACCCCGAGTTCACCGAAGAGCCGGTCCCCAGCTCCATCGGCAGGTCCCCGGACAGCATCCTCCTCACAGCCAGTGTCAAGGAGGCTGCAGAGGCCTTCCTGGGCTTCTCCTATGCACCTCCCATGGACTCTTTCCTCTGAACAGTCTTAGGTGTGGTTTTGAAGGATTTTATGTGTGTTTTTCAATGTTAAAGTTAGCCTTTTGGCGGAGCTGCCAGCCGACAGGACATCTTCAAAGAGAATTTGCACATCTCTGAAAGCTGGCACATCTTGGCAATCTTATTGCACACTGTATGCTGGAAGCTTTTCGAAGAGCACATCCTCCTCTCACTGAGCTCATGAGGTTTTCATTTTTATTCTTCCTTCCAGCGTGGTGCTATCTCTGAACCGAGCATCAGAGGGCCGCCTTAGACAGATGCGCGAGTCTTGTTAGAAGGGAGACGTGGTTCTAAGCAGGATCTTCTGGAGGTCTGTCTGGGCCATGAGAGCGAATCTTATGAAACGTGCCTTTTCCGATGAGATCGTGTTAGCTCCAAAGCTTTTCCTATTGCAGAGCATTTCATTTCTTTATCTTCCCTCGTGGATTTACTGTGTGAACCATGGTGTGTGTGTGGTGTGCTTGATCAAGACGGATTCAGTTATGAGCATCAATGTGACACTTGCAGGACACTACAATGTGGGACATTGTTTGTTTCTTCCATATTTGGAAGATAAATTTATGTGTAGACTGTTCTTTTTTTTTTGTAAGATAGAGTTAATAACTAAAATTTATTGAAATGGTCTTGCAATGACTTGTATCCAGATGCTTAAAGAAAGCATTGCTGCTACAAATATTTCTATTTTTAGAAAGGGTTTTTATGGACCAATGCCCCAGTTGTCAGTCAAAGCCTGGTGTTCTCATTGTTTCAAATGTCACCTGTAAAATGGGCATTATTTATGTGTGTGTTTTTTTTTTTTTGCGTTCCTGATAATTGTATGTATTGTATAAAGAAAGTCTGTACATTGGGTTATAACACTACTATATTTAAACTTACAGGCTTATTTGTAATGTAAACCACCATTTTAATGTACTGTAATTAACCTGGTTATAATATGTACAATTCTTTCCCCCACCCCATCACACAACTTTTTGTGTGTGTGATAAACCAATTTTGGTTTGCAATAAAACCTTGAAAAATATTTACATAAATTGTGTCGTGTGTTCTTTTGTATATTTTGGTTATAGGGGGCAATAATGAGTCTGTTTAAAATTGAAGGCCAGCCTTGGTGGTCTAGCGGTTAAGATCTGGTGCTCTCACCACCTTGGCCTGGTTTCATGTCCCAGTCAGAACCACACCCCGCATCGGTCAGTTGTCACACTGTGGTGGCTGCACGTTGCTGTGATGCTGAAAGCTATGCCACCAGTATTTCAATTACCAGCAGGGTCACCAAGGGTGGACAGGTTTTAACGCAGCTTCCAGACCAAGACAGACTAGGAAGAAGGACCTGACCACCCACTTCCAAAAAACTGGCCATGAACACTCTGTGAATAGCCGCAGAGCATTGTCTGATATAGTGCTGAAAGGTGAGGACGGTGCGAAAAGATCAGGCAGGGTTCTGCTCTGCTGTACTCAGGGTTTCTGGGAGTCGGGCTTGGCTCCACAGCACTAAAGAGATTAAAATTTAAAACCAGGAAAATGCTGCTGTAATTTACAGCTCAGTGGTTTGCTTCCAATAGCAGTGGCTTCTGACTCCAGGGAGTAGAGGGTGGTCTTAAAGCCAATTTATGTTCCAGATCTTCTTAGCAGCATTTTATGATGTCAGTCATTCATAAATCCATCCAGACAATCCTTTTCAATTTACCCGTCTGCAAGGGCAGCCATGAAGCCGTGTTCCCTGTGTTTACTGCCTGCCCTGTGAAGCTGGCTGCTCATCCTGCCATTTGGCTTGTCTGAAGTAACAGGTAATTCTTTTGACAAACATTTGAGGCCTCCTCTGGGCCAGGCTCTATCCTGAGTGCTGGGGAGACAGCAGTGAGCAGAGCAGACAAACCTCCACCCTTCCAGAGCCTGATGGAAAAGGCAGACTCTTCCAGTAAAGCAGTTTGTTGAAATGGAAACGAGATAACGGTCTGAAGTGTAGGAGAATGCCACTAACAAGGGCGAGGATCCTTGTCATGAATGGATATGCTCCCAAAAAGCTGAGCTGGCAGGACTTGTGGTATCTGAGAGTCCCCAGGGCTGACCTGAGCCCAGTGCCGCTCAGAGAAGGCTCTGGAAGGAGCACATCCCTGGCCTGGACCAGAAGCCTCTTGAGCTGGTGTGCACCCAGCACTGCACTGGGCCAGCAGACTGGGTCTGGTGTGCAGAGGCCACTCCTGGAACTCATCCCACTGGAGCGTTTACTGTGAGAGAGGGGCAGGGGATCACCTTGCATCCAAATTGTTTGGACTTTCCCTTTTCTAGTCCTTTCACACAAATTCCTACCTTGCTGCTGCCTTAACCTGGAAGCCTACTGCTCCCCCTCCACCTTGACCTCTCAGTTTGCACAGGGAATCCCCTGGGGAAAGTTGGGCTCTCTTTCTCTTTTGTTGTGGCTCTTCTATCTCACCTCCCCGACAAGGCTTCTAAGGGCTGAACAGCGTTTGGGTTCACTCAGTCTTTCTCCCTTGTAATCCACCGAAGGAATAAGATCAAAGCAAGTCAACGACTTCTGTTGAAGGTGGGCCCCAGGGCAAGGGCTGTATTTCAGGTGCTGTGCTGCCCTATAGACGTTAGCTACGTGTTAAAGCCCCTCGCCAAATCCAAATGCCAAAATCAACCACAGCGACAAAGAGAGCCTAAACCTGCATTTTCCTAGTGAAGATTGATGCTAGCTCAGACGGAGATTTTTTGCATTATCTCCCCCTTGTTCTCATTATCAACAACAGTTAGGAATTCCTCCTTGAACAAAAAGTGCTTGAATCACATTTTTATTTGAACACAGTTCCTGCAGGCTGGGAATCTATAATCTAATTACAGATGGCCCAGAGGGGCCAGTCATGGATCACAAAGCCTATTCATTTTCTAAGGCTAGGAATTTGGTTCACTGAGTTACAGTCAATCACTACATGAGATCTGATTAGCATTGTTCCAGAATGGAAAGGTGCCAGAGGAGTCCCAGGCCTCGTCACACAAATGGGAGGAGATTAGATCTAACACAAGTGGGTGGGAAGGGAACAAGGCTGGAACAGGGAAGTCAAGAAAGAACACGGGGTCAATAAAAAAGGGCAAATATTTACGAAGCACACTGATGTCAAACAGCCTATGGGCAGGGGTGTCCTTTATCTAGGGGAGTGGGGCACATCCCTGTCAGTATTTGAAACTACATTTGAGCATGATGGTTGCAAAAGAGGACAATTCATGTGTCCATAGCTCTCCCGCTGTGGATCTGCTCAAATACGGGTTTGGGGGAACTTACTCAATCGGGATTCCCCCAAGCTGAAATGGGCTCCAAAACCACTGCTACCGTGAAAATAAATCAGTCACTGTGCTTAGGGAATTTGCCATCTACTTGGGCAGACATGGCACCCACCCATGGCGTGTGACAGGTGGTGAATGAGGGGTAAAGAGAACTTCAGAAGTCCAGAGGCTCTCTGTGGGGCCGGCTGCCTAGAGCAGCTTCACAGACAGGATGCCAAAGATTCCTATTAACCAATACTAGTTCTAGGGTGTTCAATGGGATGCAGGCCTTGAGGACTGGATAATGACACTAATAGCCAACACTGTTGAGCTCTGGCTATAGGCCAGATGTCTTTCTAAGTACTTCATACTCTGTTTAATCTCCAGAACAACGCTGTGATATCAAAAGTGAAGAAACTAGCACAGAATTTGCTGGTTAGTAAGTGGTGAAGTTAGAAGTCAAATAATGCTGGTCTGGCTGCAAAGACTTTGCTTGTAGCCATTACACTCTCCTGCCTGCCAAGTGGCAATAAGAGTATAGAAGCAAACAGTTGTGTGCTTCTTAGTCATTCACTACTGATTTCACCAGACTTTTACTAAGAAACCTTCCAGGTGTCATGCTGGGCAAAGAGAGAGAGAGAGAACTTGCAGTGATAATGTAGGCACTCTCAGTTGTTGGTGAAGATGAGGAACAGCTGGAAATAGAGAGTGCAGTGGGAGTGTAAAGCAGTACAACCATTTTGGAAAACTGTTGGCACTATCTACTAGAGATGGACATATTTATAACTGATGACCCAGTAGTTCTACTCCATGGTACAGACCCCGAAGAGTGTACATATATTCAATAAAAACTGGCAATAATGTTCATAGTGGAAGTATTTATATTAGCTCCAAAATGGGAACAATTCAAAATGTCCACCAACAACAAAACGAATAAATATGATTAATAAAATGAATAAATATAATGGAATACTATACTACAATGAAAACAAATCATTGCTACACACAACAACACGGAATAAGTCTCACAAACAAACATAGAAACCAGACTGCATGATTTGACTTAAATAAAATTTAAAAGCAGGAAAACAAAACGAATCTATGTAGAAGTCAGGATTATGACTACCTTTGGGGAGGGGAGGAGGGTAGAGATATTGATCAAGAGGGCACATGAGGGGGGTATCTTCTGGGTGCTGGTAATTTCTTGATTGGGTTGGTCATTTGGGGATTGGTTATGCTTTTTGATATTTCTTCAAGTTATATACTTACGATACATACACTTTTCTCTATGTTTGTTATATATCAATAAAAATGTTTATGAAAAAATATGTAGTATGATAAACACAGGATGCTGTGGGAACACAGAGCAGGACCATCTTACTCAATTTGGGGATCAGGGGAACAGGCTAGGTTGTCAGGTAGTTTAAGAGAGAGAGATGCCTGGGGGTATCTGGGGGGTCAAGGTAGGCCATCTTGGGAACTAGATCTTGAGCGTGAGGCAGGAAGAAGGGCAGCCAGGTGCTGGCTGGTGGAGGTGGGGGCATGAGGGACAACTCGAAGAAGCACAATGGATGGGATATGAGGATGAGGAACAGCCTCAGACGGACCCAGTTCAGAATCTCAGCTCTTCCTATCGTCCTTCTAGCTTTGGGCAAGTGGTGACTTGGGCAAACCTCTCCTTACTTCAATGTCCTCAGGGACGACGCGGCCAGCGCCCATCTTTTCACCCTATCTGTGAGACAAGGTCAGAGGAACTGGAATTCGAAGAAAGCTCACTAATTTCTTCTTTCCCCACTCATCGTCTTTCTCAGTTTCCCCTCCTCCTTGCTAGAGTACAGGAGAAAGAGAGACCACGAAGCAGTGGAGAATGACTAACTAGGGAGGTGGACCTTGTCATTGATGTTCATGAGAGTCTCACAAAGATGTTTAGATCTCACAGGGCAGCTAAAAGAAGCGTTTGGAGGTTTTCCATGAGGAAAGAGAAGTGATCAAAAGGAGTTCTGGTGACTCTTGCCAAGAATTACGAGTGTGGGGAGAGCTTTGGAATTAATAAAGAAAAAAAAAGGAAGTCACTTAGGGGACTTCTGACAGTCACCCAGCGGTGGTGGTGGGAAAGGAGACAGAAGAGGTTTTGGCGGGTTTTTTGACTTGATATATGGATAGGTTCTTTTTTTTTTAATTGAAGTTTAGTTGACAGACAATCTTCTATTGGTTTCAGGTGTACAACCTAGTGATTCGACATCTATATAGATTACGAAATCACCACCAGGGCAAGTCTAGTAACCATCTGTCACCATACAAAGTTATTGCGATATTATTGACTGTGTTCCCTACGCTGTACAGTACATCCCCATGACTTATTTATTTTCTAACTGGAAGTTTGTTCCTCTTAATCCCAAGAAGAGATCATTTGAAGGCCTCAAACAAATGGGGCTCGGTGAGTTATTGGGTACAGAGGGAGAAGAAAGAGGAATCCCAAGCAAGGCACATTTAATGTAGTTTATTTCTTTAATGTAATTGACTTACTTATTGAAGTGGTTGTCACAGCTGCAATAATAGCTTCCAGGACAAAGACCGCCTGCTCACCTGTTTCTTCAACATCCCCAGGACATAACAAATCAGCTGATCAATAATCAATCAGTGTAACAGGCCAGGCAAGATGTTACACACTGTAGTCAATCTCTATTCTGTTAAGAAATTTCTCACCTCATCCATCAAAAATTCCTAAAATCCTCTTCCATAGGCCTCCAACCTTGATTTAGGA